TGATTGGGTGGAGCCAGATGGGGGCGGGGCCCTCACAGACTGGGTCCCCGCCTTGGGGCAGGGCCAGGGCCAGGGTTGGGGCTGAGTGGGCTGGGTGCATGGGGTATGACCAGAAATGGAGGAATGCATGATGTGCCAAGCAGGGTGGAACGCCCCTATCCTGGCGTGGAGGGGCGTGTCCGCGGCTGGGACTCAGAGGGCCACGGGCCTAATGGCAGCCACCGTCCCTCCACAGGAGAAGTGCCACCAATACTGGCCGGCCGAGCGCTCGGCCCGCTACCAGTACTTTGTGGTCGACCCCATGGCCGAATACAACATGCCTCAGTATATCCTCCGCGAGTTCAAAGTTACGGACGCCCGGGTGAGTGCGGGCTGGGTTGCCAGCGGTACCCCCAACCCCCACCCCCTGCCAGGCTTGCTAGTCTGCAGACAGACCTCTTCCTTAGCGACCCAGAGAGGGCAAAGGCCTGGGGGGCGAGGAGTGAGTTGACCAGATCCTGGCACACGCCCACCAAGTAGGGGGAGAGAGAGAGGGCCCGGGTCTGTGCTGACCCAGTGTGGCCCCCATTGCAGTGTGTGAGGTCATGCCCCAGGACTGTGTCCTCTGGGGCCCCGTGGCAGGTAGCCAGTGGGGGGTTTCTCGGGAGGCAACAAGCTGTGTTTCCAGGAGAGGGAGGCAGGCGTCAGAGGCTGCAGGCGCAGTGAGGGAGGGTAGGAGTGTTGGCGATGAGAAGTGCAAAGGGTTGTAAGCAGGGATGGAACACGGACAGCATGGACAGCATCGGGTGGTCGCGGTAGAATGGACAGTAGACGGTGGTGGCCCTGTCAGGTGACAGAGGTCTAAGTGAGTGACCGGTGGGAGAGGAGGCTGGGGAACGCAGTGGGGGGCTCGGGGGTGGAGGGTGGGAGGCGGGCAGCTCCAGTGATGGTGACACGCAGTGGGTGACGGGTTAATAATTGGGCTGTGGGTAAAACAAGGTGGATTGGAGAAAGGTAGACATTGGGTGTGGGTGAACAAAGGTGGCCGGAAGGAGGGCCAGGAGACCTGGATGTGTGGATAACAGGATGGGATCCCCCATGGAACTTGGGGCTGTCGGCCAGTGGAGAGGTTCCGCGTTTATCTGGTGGGTGGGGAAGGGGGTGGGGGGAAATGTTCAAGGGGAGATCTCTTTGGACAATGAAGGATGGTGACCATCCGTGGTCTCTGGCGACAGGTGATTCTGTTGGGTGGCCAAAGGTGGTAAAGCCAAACCAAGCCCACTGCTGTCGGGTCCACTCTGACTCACAGTGAGCCCAGTGGACAGGGTAGACCTGCCCCGGTGGGGTGGGTGTCCTACCCTGTCCATCTTTGTGGGAGTAGAAAGCCTGGCCTTTCTCCCAAGGATCATCAACTCCTGGGTCCGCACAGCTGACCTTGTGAGTTAACGGCCCAGCGCTTGGGTCCCACCGTCTCCCTGGGGCCCCGTCTCCTGATTCTGATGGTGCCACCCTGGCAGCAGAGGTGATGGTGCCACCCTGGCAGCAGAGGGATGCGGTTGGGAAGGGACGGGTGGTGGGTGAAGGAGGCCGGTGGATGGTGAAGAGTGGTGAGTTACCAGGGCCAGGTGATGGAAAACCGGTGCCCTCCAGTGGAGGGGGAGGGAAGGTGTCAGGGGACGACTGGTGGTCGGAAGATGGGTTTGGGGAAAGTCGGCTAGAGAAGGTCTTGGGTGTTGAGGTGGTGGTTCAGAACGGGACTCCGAGACGTAGTGATGGACAAAGAGACAGAAGAGGATGGATGGTCTCTGTGAGGGAGGATGGGGTCAGAGGAGTGGAGAGGGACGTGGTTGGGTGTGGGCAGTGAAGGCAGGCAGGTCCTGTTGGCACCTATTTCAGTGCCTGTGGGACTGTGGGACAGAGTGACCCTGTGGGACAGGGTAGAACTTCCCCTGGGGGTTTCTGAGACTGTCACATTTCACAACAGAAGAAAGCCCCGTCTTTCCCGCGCCCCCCCCCTCCCCGCAAGGGGCGCGTGAGCCCCTGGTGGCTTTAAACGGCTGACCTGCTGACCTGTCATTTAGCAGCCCATTTCAGAACCGCCAGGTCGCGTCCACACTCTCAGAACAGGAGAACTGAAGCATGGGCGACGCTCGGGCAGGGTTCCATCCGGCGGTAGAGCCGGCACCAGGTGGATGTGCCTCGTTCACAGGGCATATTGGGGGTCAGAAGGGCTGGGGGACGTGCAAATCCAGAGCCTAGCGGGGCAGATCGAATCAGCCCCCCAGGCTTGAAAGTAACCTCCGTCCTCCAGGCACCCGCTTGGGCGGCGGTCCCTCCCCTCAGACTCTGAATGGAGACCCGCCTAGTCAACTTGGGGTCACAGCCCCCCTCTTGGAAACTGAGGCGACAGCGACTTCGCCCTCTGAAGCTGCGGTTTGGGCGGAGGTCCCTCCTCCTTCCTTTCCCACTGTGTGTCTGCATGTTCTGCTCTGTTTATAACTCAGCTCCCTGACAAGGGCTTTGCTGCTTTATAACAAGCATCGGCGGTAGACTCACAGGGTCATCTTTCCCGTTTAGAACCTCTTGAGAAACACACTGCTCATTCTCTGCCCGATGCCTAACCCACAGTGCCAGCGGGGCACCTTTAACCCAGCCCCCACTAATTCCAAAGCCCCGCCCATGTTCCAGGTGCTCTGCAGAGAGGCAGCCCGACTCCCCATACCAAGCCCCCTCATGTAGTTCTCTGGGGCTGCCGGGCCAGAACTGCCCCAGGGGGGCAGCTTTGAAGGACAGAAGCACACTTCCTCCAGTTTTCCTGAGGCCGGGAGTCTGAATCAGGCTCTTGGCTTTATCATTTCCTTCTGTGGGCCTCTCGTCTAGATTCGAGCATCTTCTCCCATGTCTGTCCTGCCCTTTTGGTGACTCAGAAAAGGCTGGGTCCAGGACCTGACCTGCCTTACCTGAACCCAAGCATGCCGGACACCATGAGGGTAACTCAGCGGTGGCTGTGGGTCAGAGCCGGCCTGATGGCAGCTAGCTGTGGTCATAACCCTCACATAACCCAAGGGCATGGCCCGGCACAGGGTACAGCAGGTAACATAGTAGGCTGCAACGCCAGGTCACCAGTTCGAAACCACCAGCTGCTCCTCGGGAGAAAGATGAGAATTTCAACTCCTGTAAAGAGTTGCAGTCTGAGTGGAGACCCAGAACCACTTGTAAGATAACTTGATAGTCCCACACAGAAGGGCCACACGGGAGGGAACATCCATCCAGGGTGCAGGAAGACACTGATGAAACATAACGATCCTCTAGTTCAGAGGTTCTCAACCTGTGGGTCACGACCCCTTTAGGCCTTTCACAGGCGTCGCCCGATTCCTAACAGTAGCAAACTTACAGTTATAAAGTAGCAATGAAGATAATGTTATGATTGGGGGGTCCCCACCACAAGAGAACCGGTTTGAAAAGGTCCTGTTACGAGGAAGGTGGAGAACCACCGATCCAGTTCTTTAATGCTTCCTCCCCTTACTGTTGCCCCCGTTTCACCCCATGACGCTTGTTAGACTTGCAGATATTCATTTGTATGATGAAGATCGTTTGATGCATGAAATCCAGGATAGATAATCTCATCAGAAATAGTAATGGAAGCAACGATTCCCTGGGGGTACGGGAAGAGGAGAGGGGTGGGAGGGGGAAGAAAAACTGATAGCCAAGATGACTGTGTGACCCCACTCAAGGGGCATGAATAGCAGAATTGTGGGTGAATGGATAGTGGGCGGTGTAAGATACGGCAAGTATATACATGTGATAATGACTTTATAAGAACAAGGATTCCTGGGGGGTAGTGTCGGGGAGGGAGGGGATAAAGGGGGGCTGAAACAAAGAGTTCAGAAGAAAGAAACTGTTTTGAGAACGATGGTGGCAGTAATTGTACAATCATGCTTGATCTAATGGAATCATGGATTGTTATAATAGCTGTCAGAGCTCCCAGTAAATTGAAAAACGATTTACAGCCTCGGAAACCCCGGGATAGTTGTATCTGCCCTGGAGTGTCACTCTGAGTCAAAATCGACCGATGGCATGCAGAGTTTTGATCCTGCTCTGGGGTGCACTGCCATCCGTTGGGAGAAAAAAATGAAGCTGATTCCATTGAATTGAAACAAAGAAAGAGTTAGGGTCTCGGAACCCCCCAGGGGCAGTTCTGCCCTGTCCTGTAGGGTCGCTGTCAGTCGGGAACGGCTGGGTGACTGTGGGTTCTGAGACATGGAGTGGAAGCTGCTGCCCTGCCCCCAGCATGCCCAAACACGGCCCAGGGTCAGAGGTGGGGGTCCAGCCCGTGTTCGGGAAGGGGCTGCTTCCGTCCCCACAGCCTCCGTGGACAGTCAGTATAAGATGCAGGGCCCTGGTGAGATGGTGAAGAAAAGGTGGGGAGTGGCCACGGTCGGTGAGGGGGTGGGGGGTGGTGTCAGTGTACGGGGGAAGGCGGGTGGGGGTGGTGTCAGAGTGACAAGAGGTAGCAGCCACGGTTGGTGGGGGCAGCAGTACTGCTTCAGCCGGAGCTGACAGCCACACGGCCCACTCCCTCCCCCACCCCAGGACGGCCAATCCCGGACCGTCCGGCAGTTCCAGTTCACGGACTGGCCAGAGCAGGGCGTGCCAAAGTCGGGAGAGGGCTTCATTGACTTCATCGGCCAAGTGCACAAGACCAAGGAGCAGTTTGGCCAGGACGGCCCCATCTCGGTCCACTGCAGGTGAGTGGCCCCGCCCCAGTAGGGACAGGCCCCAGGGAGTCGGGCTTCCCCCAACCCCCAACCCGGCTCACACACACACCCCGTGTCCCCTCCCCGCAGCGCCGGCGTGGGCAGGACGGGGGTCTTCATCACCCTCAGCATCGTGCTGGAACGTATGCGGTACGAGGGTGTGGTGGACATCTTCCAGACAGTGAAGATGCTGAGAACCCAGCGGCCGGCCATGGTGCAGACAGAGGTGAGAGCGGGCTCCCCGGGGCCACCTCAGGGACGGGGGGCAGCCCCCCAGCCTCTCCGAGCCGAGGCCTCGGTGCTTCAGGGTGCAAGGGTTGAGCGCGCCCTGCCGCTCGCTGGAAGGGTGGTGGTGTG